AAGATTTATTTTATTGCCATATTGATTTCATTTACTAAATATTATTCTAAGTCTTAGTGAATCAAGCAAAAGAATAATATATATTATGACATGACCGCATCCATGATGATTACTAAGAACGTAGATCAAAAACTAATTAGAATGCAATTCAAGACGATATGCGCATTTCAGCTTTTCTTAGATTATTCAAGAAATGTTATTTATATAAATTCTTTTTTTATCATACAGCTTTTATTTTTATCAAAACATTTCTTAGTGACGGCTTGGCCTTATTTGATCTTAATCAAAAGTATACTTCACATAACTAAAATGTTTATTATTTAAAGAAAACGATTAGAAAATATAAATGAAATTCATAAATCACATTCATCAACAATATCTACTTTAGCAAGAGAGGTACTACCATTTTAAGTTTAAATTTTGTTAATAAATAGAACTTAATAAGACTTAAGATAGCCCAAAATAGCTCGTGCTAATAGCATTTTGTTCAAAAATTACCGACTGTTTTTCTGAGTTGTCAACGCCATAGTACGATATTATTGAGAAATCCTTTATTAATGAATATTGATCTGAGACTTTGTCAGTTGATAAATTTAATTGTTATTAAATTCTCAAGAGAAACGATCATATCTTTCTTAAATTAATGAATTTACAAACTCGATCTGACAATTTTTCTTTCTGTTTATAGCAAGTGACGATGTTTTGTCAATTTAATATCTCAAGAGAGACACATTCTTCGCTCTTGGATATTTATAAACAATAAAATTTTTCAATTGGTAAAGTATCAAAATAAAGTTCCTTGACAATTTTGTCGTATGGATTCTCGAAAAATTAGAAAAATGTCTGTAACTTTTTGAACAATTGGCCATCAGCACGGATCCGTTTTAGGCTATTTTCTTGGTTCTCATATTTATTGGAAAAATTTGAGCTCAAAAGCTAAGAATCAATTCAAGTATGTCACTTGTCAATCCTACATTCTACTGATTTTCTTCGAGTAAAATGTATATTATGACTTCTTAATTCATATTTCCGATTAATTAGTTGCCGATGTGAGATATGTTTAAGAAGACTTGTAAAAATTAAGAATGGCATTACTGAGTTAATTTTTTTCACAGATGTTAACACGAATTTGATACTAATATCAACTAATCTTGCAATCTATATCGTTATCTCCCAACGACAACTGTTTTCTCAAATGCCCTTGTCTGTATAACATTTCAATGCCAATAGAATCATCTCATATTTCATATTTGTTTATTTATGATTTTGATAGCTTCAATAGAAACTATGATCTATGAAAAGAAAACATATCAATTGCATTGTTTTTTTTCCTTGCGAAATAAAATTCATCTATATATATTCGCACTGCGTTCAAATAATAAGAATAAACTAAATATAGATCGATTATTATTCATCATGTAAAACAAATAAATTCTCTAATGTTTCACCTTATTAAACATGTCACATGTTTATAAAAACATTTTTTTTAAATACATTGATTATTTATCTTACATACATAACTAGAAAAACTAAATAATAATTAATTCTAGTTTAATAAAAAAAAGATTTTATCATTCATTGTAAAATAAATTTAAATATTAAAACAAAAACTCAATATGAATGAAAACATTTGAAATTATTATATTATATTCAATTGATTTTTTTGACTGTGATAATACATATCCATAGAAGTGTCTTGAACAGGAGATGATCCTCAATATTAGAAAATTTTCGTTTTCTCTCAGAGAAACTACGCAATTTTTTTGGTCTATGTGTTTGCTTATCAACCTCCGTAACAAGAGTCGACCTGCGCCAATGTCATCAATTTTAGCTTATAATTAGTCGTTTATCTCCATCCCCGATCTTTATTATCTTGGCACATCCTTCCATATTCGAATAGTACAAAATCCACGAAAGAAATAGATAATTTACGAAAAACATTTTTTTTGTATAATGAAAGTATTTCGATTGAAATTCATTATCGAAATAAATATTCATTTTTACGAATACATTTTCAATGAATTTTTAATTTTCAAATACGATCTCTCGCTAAAAAGAGATTTACCATGTCTATACATTTCCTTAAATGAAGTTAGACAGGAGAAAAAGAATATGATTGTAACTCAAGGTCATTCAAATCGATGCATTTTCTGACATGTAAAGATGCAAATTTTCTCGACGAATGCTTAAAAGAACTGAGAACATCCGTTTCATCAAGACATCTTTTATTATCCGGAAATGTGGCAAGAGTCAAGAATACGTTTTTGATTACTAACCTGTTGAAGAAAGCACATCAAACATCTTTCGTATCTACGGATATCCTGTAAATCATCTCAGTCTAATCACGTTTCTTATTTTATGAAGAAAAAAAGTAGTGTGTTAAAATTCAATTTCTATTTTACTACAATCTTTTATCGTCATTCATTTTCTTTCTTTTGTTTCGTTTTCTCTTACATAGACAATATTAGTTTAATTTCAACGAGATCAAGTCATCATTATACTACTATTTTCATGTACTTCTATGACTTATTTAAATCATTTAATTATTTAATAATACTGTACTCGTTCTTTGCAAAAAAATTATTTTTCTCCTTCATTATATATTAGTTGACTGAAAGATTTAAAATCTCCTTATGTTTTGTCTCTTGTCGAAATACCTCGTGGATGAAAATTCTTCATCTAGAAATTTACGCCTTTTTAGTTTTCGCAATTATATGATCTGTATTTAACAATACAAAATTTATGCATTTGGATAATGCATAAATTTTAAGCTAATCAAACACATCGAAACTTACATTAATCATAACTTGAAAATGGGTGTGCAGAGTCTAGAATATAAGTGACTGTAAGAAAAAAAAGGAAAGTATACATTGCGAAACTACGTCATTATATCTTTGACAACAAAATAAAAGATTGATCGACGATATCATATAAAAGAATAATTTTCGATCTCATTATATATATATATATACAAAAAATAAAATTATGATGAAATATAGATGAATATGTTAAAATTACTGTAATTCAAGTCCTACAACATTTTATTTTGTTAGGATAGACATGCATTAAAATAAATAGCTTATAAATAACCAACAAGGTATTTCGTTATTTGGCATATTGACACTGAATAAGTCTATGTTGATGATTATAGTTAATTACATAAATGTATCCAGGTTCTGACAGAGGATATATTTAAAATCGTCTTATTATTTATCATGATGGTATTAACAGGATTGTATAGAAAAAAAATGTAATTCGCTATTTTTTAATGAACCAACGTAAATGAATTTTTCTTATTCCAAAAATAGAATGGTGTTTTCTTTTTGTTAAAATAATTTAATCTCCTATCATTTTTTGAATACATCAATATCCTTATTATAAAGAATATATGTCTGATTAATATTCATTTTACCGGTATCTGATTGTATATGGTTTTTATTTTGATAATATATGCTTTTGATATTCAAATATCATGGAAATAAAATTATTCCAACAAATTTTTTTTTTTATTTTGAAAATCTAGAGAAAATAAAATGATAACCATTAAAAAATACTAGAAAGCTACTCAGGTAATGAATTCAATTAATCGTTTAGTAAAGTATTGAAAAAATAAAACAAAATTCGTAAATCATAAAAATATGTTCTGCGAAATATCGATGACATTCCTATGAAGAAAAAAGCTTATCGAATGAAAGATCTGTTGTGATTTAATCAAAACTATTTTCAAAATTTTTCATGAGTATTTCATAACATATTTTTCAAAATTAAATCTATCTTATTGATAAATAGAAATCTTAAAAAAGGAAAAAGATTATTTAAATTACGCAAAAGAATTATTTACAAACGTAAAAAAGAGAAAAAAATTAGTATTATCAACAAACAGGAGAGCATTTTTGAAACAGATATATTTTTCATATTTGAATATCGTCAGATAAAAGAATTCCTATGAGAATAAAATTTGTTTTTTTTTTCATCTAATCAAACATCAAAAAGCCAGAAAATGACTTTTATTCCCATTGGAATATCCGATAGAGAAGAGAAAGTAAATGAAGTTTATTTGTTACAAAAAAAAAATGAAGATTTTCCTTTTTCTTATGCTTGACATTTGCTTAAAGAGTATTTAGAAAAAAGATTTAATCAAATTCTATATCATATAATCATTAATCAACAAATTGAAATCTAAAAGAACAGAAAGGCTCTATATTAAAATAACCTTTATTCTGATATATGTTTTCTGTTCGATGTGAGTGATATATTTTTTTGGTTTATTTCCCTATCGGATGTAGAGGCCACTTGAAAGTGCCATCATTATTATTATTGCAGATTTGCTCTTTTTTTTTCTTTTTATAGTTGTGCATGTGTGTGCGTGTTTTGAAGAACATAAGATAGATAGGTGGAGTAGATAGATCTAGAATAGTTTTTGCTAGATATAATAATGGTTGTTATTGATGTTATTGTGCATGCATTGTTTCCTATTTTTTTGTAACATATATTAATCTCAATGGTATTGTAAAGAATATGTTCTAGTAGAAGAAGTGTATCATTCCAAAATCTTTGTTATAAGAAGAAATATGTAGAAAAATTGTTTCTTTTTTCAAGAAAATAGAAGCTAAAATGAGACAGAAAAGAGATGAAAGACGTTTGTTGCAAAGAATGACAGGGATACGATGAAGACGGTAGTGTGTACGGGTTGTCGTCGCCGTTGTCGCCACCCACTCTCTTTCCTTTTCTTCTCTTGTTTTCTCTCCCTCTCCCTCTCTCTCTCTCGCTCTTTCTTCTTTCTCTACTAATGTTAGAAGACACAAATATATAGCCTAAAGCAGTAGGAAACTAGTGATGTATGGTGTGTGCATATGTGTGATTTCCTCGAATGATTCACATTGTAGATAGTGACGAAAAAATAGACGATGTCTTTGTTTCTTGTCTACTTTCATTTTCAGATTATCATTGATTTTAGCCATAGCTAGACGACGAAAAGAAAATAGCTTAATAAAATGAAGATGCCATTACAAAAGGGTATTGTCGATGAGTCTCGTTCATTAACGCCGGACCCAAGCAGTCGAAATCCTCGTCGAAGTCATGTATCAATAACATCAAGCAAACGTCCATCAATGAATACAGGTGCATCTAATTCAAATAAAACTAAACAAGGCATGTTTCGTCGAGCTGTTCCACATATGCCACGGGCTTTAGCCTGTATCTGTTTTATACTCAATCTTGTGTTGCCTGGAACAGGTATGATTTCGTGTTATCAAAGAAAAAAAACATACTTGATGACATGCTATTCAGTATGTCAATTCATATTTGATATGTATCAATGATTTGACAATAGAAAGCAACTTTGTCTTATCTCTTCTATTTTCCAATATCATAAAGAAAAAATTTTCCAGGAGGCTGATCACTAATGTTATCGACTATACTGTTATTACCCAGCATGTATAGCAATTATAATCTCACAATTTTTTAACTTCTCTTCTTTCATATGTCGTTTTATTTTCCCTTTTTGATAATTACCACACAGGCACACTCGTTTCCAGCATTACAACTCATCAGTATTATTATTGCACTGATTTAGTTGTCGTGCGGGTCGGTTGCCTTGGATTAGATTGTTTGTTGTTGTTGTTATTATTATGATTCTACTCCTCACACATGCTGAATTCATCTTTTGCTATGGTCTTACTAATAACAACAAAAAACAACGCATGATAGCAATATTATCGTTTTTCTTGATCCCTGGTAGAAATACACAGAAAAAAAAACATACAGAAAAAGAAATAAGGTAATATTGCATACTTGCAACTAAACTAACGGATAGATGAATAGTTTGTGTCAGACACACAAACGATAGCGTTCATTACGTGCATTGTACGATCTCAATGATAAATGAGGTCAGCTTAATAATAGTCAAACAGTAATTATTCTCATTTAGTTTTTCCTTTTTTTTATCGAATTTATCGAACTTCATTTTATCATATTTCATTAAGAAAAAAGCTTTTTTGTTATTATTTCTAAATTGATAAAAATTCTCTATCGTCTTTGTATTCTCTTTATATATAAAATCCTTTTAGAATCATCAGATATAATAGATGAGAATATAGTAAAAAAAAAATATATGGGAAAAGCAAAAAAAAAGTGATAGGCATATGTATGCATTCCCAACAGAGCGTATTTTAGCATCATCATATTACATTGTTAGTACAAACAAAGAAATTGAATATAAAACCAAATAAGCGAATCGACAAGCAACAAAGAAAATATGAATAAATCTGTCATGTCAAACAAATTGATTAAGAAAACTACTAAATATGTTCATCGTTAAATAATTTTATTTTACTATTATTTTAGGCACATTAATCAGTGCATTTGCTGTATTTTGTTGTGGAAAACATGATTATGAAAAAAATATTGTAGCATTTTTTTATAATATTCTTGCGGCTATATTACAAAGTGCTACAATTTTTTTACTTGTTGGCTGGATTTGGTCAATACGATGGGGTATTCTTTTTGTTCAATTATCAGGTATAATTCAAAAAAAATTCATGTATACATATATATATATGTGTATATAAGAATAGAGTAAAAAGGAATTACTTATGGTTTTCCTTTGCGTGCATGTAAAACCTCGAGAAAATAGTTGTGAGAACAAATCTGTTTTGTTACGATCGATCGCTTCTTTTTATTATTTATGTTTCTTTTACAATGAAAAGAAAAGAGAAAAAGAAACGAAGAATCAGTCGTGCTCTAATAGTTGAGTCGTATACAGATATGAACCAGCACAAGAAAAAAATGTATACTCAACAAGTAACTAATAGTAAAACAATTGTTGCATTACTAGACTATTTAAGTGAAAAGCCAAATTTACAATCGGATTAGAAGAAAAAACCAGACCATTATTGGTTTTTTTTCTTTCCTTTTTTTTTTTATCTCTTCGTTCTGTCGCAAGAAAATAGAAACTAAGCGTAAACTATTTATGATAGATATATATGTATAAATATAGAAGACGATGAAACGAGAGTACCACTTAATTAGAGTCGCTTGTTGAGACAACCTTTTATATTTTTGCTTTTTTTCTATACTTCGCTATTTAGTTACGATGTATTGATGCCAGTGACGATAGTTTAGATGTACAGACATACTCTTCTGTTGGTCGAATCTCGTTTTTTTTTTCTCTCTACTCGTTTTTACACGAGACACGAGCTATGTAGATAACTGAAAAAAAAAATAGAGCAATCAACAAGAGAGCCTACTTATGATGGAAGCAATGAAGAGAAAAAGAAAGAGAGAGAAACAAAAATTTTAAAAAAATATGAACTCATCAAGAGGACTTTTCTCTAGTTCCTTTAGTTTCGATCCGTCTGTTGCATTCACAAGAGGCCATCGATCGAGACCATTGATCGTTACGTTCAATCATCGTCATCGTAAAGTAGACCTAGAGAGAATCGGAATTCCAAGTAAATTGTCCTGAAAATTTTAACCAAATCAACAAGCACCCTCATATTAGTTTTGCTAATGGTTGATCAAGAAGGAAAAAAATAGGAGGAAAAAAATCGATAGAAATCAACATTCACACCTCTAAAAATCTCTCCTTAATGACAAATAACAGCTATCATAAGGACATTTTTCCATTAATGTTAATATATATCGATGTAAATAAATACATTTCTTTCATTCCATCCATTGATTAGAAAGATTAAAGTGTCAATGTGTCAAAATGCATATATTTCTTTAAAAGAATTTTCTCTATGCTTTGATTAACAAATAATTCTCTTAAATTAAGTGCATAAAAAAAGCCAAACAAGACAAATATATGTTTATTAAGTAATTATTTTATAAAACAAACAATACAATCATTTACCAGATAGGGGACTTTCATCTTCAGAATTACCAATCTTTATGATTAAAAATACAGAAGAATCTTATCTTTTCTTCGCTCTGTTAAATTTCTATTCCGTAATAATATTACATATGGAATTTTAAGTATCTTTTGCATTATTTTGATCTTGTTTGAAATTCTTTTTTATTTTTTTGTATTCATGCAAATTAACAGAAAGGCTAAACATTATGTTAATAGACGCGTAAGCAAGGATGTTTTGTTTTCTTTTTGTCTGTTTTGATACTTGAGCTAATGTAGCAAATATTGCTAATTCTTTGTTTGAATATTGTCTAGAGTTAAACAAAAAGAAAATTGTTAAAGTTGATTTGCATTAAACCACCTTCGCTTCTTTAATGTGATTTTCTTAATTCAGAATCATCTTATTTTATTTTGAATATATATGATTAATGAATATAGATTGATTTATTAAATATTTGTGATAGAAAAAAAAACAACTGAGAACGAATTTTTGTTTCTCTTTGTTTTTGTTTTCTTTTTATCGAAGAAAGAAGGAGCCTATCAATTTGAGTAATTGATTTAGAATTGATTTTTGTTGATGAAAACTATAAATGATGTTGACTAATCGATTCTATTTTTTGCTTTCGAACGAATAATAATCATATGATTTCATTACGAGACATTTTCTAATAACTTAGATTAAACCAGAAAAATCGTTATTAAGAAAAATAAGACCCATCGACCTTTTCTTTACTTTAACACGAAGAGATATATAGACAATATATTAAAGATAAATTAACACAATTTATGTGTCCATAAGAAGTACTCGTCGAGAAAACCAATAATCTGTTTGTCGCACTGTTTGTTATTGTTTTTGTTTTATAGGCAATAAGAACACAGTGGCACAACCGACACCATTCTATGTCCGCCGACAATCGAGTGTTGACACACATATGCAACCATTTCTAACCCAAATGATTGCACCACGCGTACCACCCGTATTCGAAGATAAAAACGAACAAGATGCCGTATGATGATGATTCATATACTATCTTTACACTTTTGTTACAAATTTAATACGTTTCAATTGTGTACTGATATATGAGCTTGTGTTGTCAATTATATACATATTCTCATATATCTAATACTGTGATAAAACTAGAGAAACGTTTAGCGGATGGTATCATCATCATTGAGTGTACGATGAAAGAAAGATGTTTTTTCTTTTTTTGTATAAAAATCGTTAGTTCTCTTCTTTTGTTTCTTTGTCTTTTTTATTACTTTAAATGTCAAAATGAGTCTAGTTTGTATTTTTAATTGTACGAAAAACAATAATTACAGGTTTAGAAGTATTCGTTAATGAATATGAAATATTTTCATTATATGGTAGAAGGTCTTTTCCATTTAAACAACAAAATAGAATTTCAAAATTATTCGAAATAAATAAATTAATAAGTTTCAATATTGAACATGTACGTAATTGCCATGATAATTTAATTTTTGGTGGAACATCGAATTCAAATGTTTGTTTACATAAACATTCATTATCATTTTGTGGAATATTTTCAACGGAAATAAGTTTTAATCTATCTTGATTTTCTGATTTATCTATTGATTCAATTTGTATTAATGAATCGGGAAATAAATAAATAGCAAAAAGTCCTGTTTCAATTCGAAGTGTTTGTTGAATATTATTTATAAATTCTTGACGTTCGTTATCAGTAATTAAATGATGAAATGTACCAGCTGGTAAAAGAATACAATCGATTTTTTGTGTTTCGAAACAATCAGCAAAATTTGTTAAATTACCATGTAAAAGTTCAATTTGATTATTTGATTGATTAGTTAATTTTTCTTTTGCACGATTTAACATAGCATGTGAATGATCAATACCAATAAGTTTAAGATTTTTATTTGGAAAAAATTCTTTAAAATAAATTAAATTTTCACCAGTACCACAACCTAATTCAACGATAATTGTTTGTTGATTATCACGAAATGTTCGTTGAATTATTTCTGTATAGACTTGTTGTACTGTATTTGTCCAATAAATATCATGTGGTATATGTTCTGCAACAAATGCATCATAATAACGTGAAAATTCATCATTATCATATGCATAAGACATAATTCTTATATCTATCTAGAATAAAAGAATATTTTTAAATATTTCGTAAGAAGTTTCAGTTAAAAAAAAAACTCTTCTTTGATAACAATAGAGTATTTGCTAACAACTAAGTCAATAGATGAGATACGATATTATTAAAAATGATGAGAAGAATAACACCTGGCTTACAACAACCTTAATGGAAGCATCAGAGTGTTATTCACATAACATACGCGATGATGTCCTCAACGATAATCGTACTAGTACTGATGATTAGTGGACTTTCTATGTCTACTTCTGAAGCGCAATCACCAATATCTGCCTTTGATCTATTTGCCAAAGCATTAATTAAAACAATTCAAACACCTATTAGTTTAAATGACGACAATCCAACAATGTCTGTTGATATTATATTAGAAAATGATGAGGTATTCAGTCTTGATGATATTCTTCGTTTATTTATTCAACAATATATTCTTGCATTATATGATAATCGTAATCATCTTGTACCTGAAGATTGGGAAACACGATATCCTGCATATAGTAAAGTATTGAGTGAAGTTAATAATGTTTTAGATTTAATTGGTAAACGAGTATTATCTGAAATAAAATTGAAAGATATTCAACCACTTATTAAAAGTACGTCATTAAATAATTTTTACTGACTTATAGATTATTTCTTTTTTGCATCAGGTCTAACACCTGCAGTATTGGAAGATTTACAACAATTATTAAAACACTTAGATGAAGAAACCGAAAAAGAAAATGGTGATGATTCAGCTAAAGAAGATTTATAGTTATTTTTTGTTTTTGTTTTTTTATTTTAATTCTAAATGATAACCAATAAATAAATCATAGTCTTAAGATGCCACCAATATCCGTATTTCTATTTGTAATGAAAAGAATATAGTAACTATGTCAATTAAAAAGAAATCGAATTTTCGCTCTTTTCGACAAAAAGGAAATTTTTTAATTTTCCTTTTTTCGTTTCTTTGTATTGAAAAAAAAAATATATATCTATATAAAACATAAAGACGAATAATGACAACAAATGAATGTTTATCACCAATAATTACAAAAGATATTCTCAAAACAATATTTGATAATATATCTGAAAATGAATTATTTATTTGTTCACTTTGTGCAACAATGTGTACAAATCAACATAAACATCAATTAGTATCAACAACATGTGGTCATTTATTTGGAAAAAATTGTATAAGAAAACGATTAAAAGAAACCGGACAATGTCCATTATGTTGTAAACAATTAGAAACTCGACGTGAGAAACAATTACGTACAATGTGTTTATCAAGTGTTGTTACTATATTTCCATTTGAAATATTACAAATGAGAGATGAACGTAAACGACTTCGTATTCGATTAAATGAAATAAAAACACGTCTTGAACGTGCGAAAATAAAATTAAATATTAATAAACAACATTTGCAAAAAATGAATAAGAAAATACTTAAACATTGTAAACGTAATATGAAGAATAATGTTTAAAATATATATTTGTCTGATGTTTTTTTTGTAAATTCATATAGAAATGAAAGATTAGATAAGAAAAATCAATTAAGAGATACTTTAAGATAGAAGTTATTTTGAGAGTTTGATTCTATTTTTTCGAAATCCATAGGGAATAAATTAATCTTTTATTTGTAATAAATAGAGAATGACTTTAATTTGTTCAAGTAGACATTTTCTACTGGTTGACATCTATCTAAAAATACTCACAAACGTTTGTTGGTTAGTTTGAGTCTTTTGGATTGTCTTTATCAATAGTATAAACAATTACATAATAAGCAGAATATAGGAAGATAATTTATTTTGATGAAATTATTTCATAGATCTATTGTACATTATCGGAAAGGTTAACTCATTACAAATATTTTGCTTTCGTATAACTAAGATATAAATAACATTTACTTCTCTATATCTGTTATGCAATGTCTTCTCATTCAATTTCTGATAATTATTATAAGATTTTATCTTCGATGAAGAATTTATAAGAAGAAAAATTTAAATCGATTAAAAACATTTTTGTTCACAGTTACTTACATTCGTTCAATTTCAATCAATATAATCGATTTTCTACTATCAAAAAAGTATATATAGATTGTGTGTAAGTACAGTCAAATTAAAGTTACAATAGATAATAGTCAAACGAATGGCATTAGAATCATTGTTTATTTTAACCACATTCGTCTCCACTAACATTCATATTTGGATGATTTCCGGAAGGTATTTCATTATTTGGATTTTTCTTTTGATTTTTTTCACTTAATTTATTAAATAATGGTTCAGCTTGAGTAACTAATTCAACAACTTGTTGATGTGCTCCACCAATTTTAACACCAGTATGTGCACAACAAATATTATCAAAAGTCCAATCGTTTAACATAGTTTTCATCCAATCGCGAAATTCTAATGGAGCATCAACCGTTGGATATAATCCCGGTCCTTTAATTGATGGATGAAATGCCATTGTACCATGTTTAAAACCAATTAATTTAAGTAGAAAACTTGGATGATCTCCATAAACAATTGTATCATCAACATGTAAAGTACGCGATAAACGATGAAATACAAAAACACATATAAAATGATTACTTGATTCAGGTAAAGGATTAATAAATTCAGCACCTATTATAAAAAACGTAAAACTTTCTATTTCTATTAAATATTACATATAAGCATATTTACCAGCTGGTATTCTCATTTCTACTTCAGGTTCCCATTTTTTTCTTACATTACAATCTTCAAGTGAACCAGTCCATGGTATTTTTGTCAGTCGTCTTAAATGTCTTGGTGTACCATAATATTCTACTTTTGGATATGTTTCATAAAATGTTTGAAATGCTAATGTATGAAATGGATGTACACCAATAACAGCTTGAATATTTTTTCCATTATCTGTTAAACGATCGATGTCACTTCGTAATTGATCATTTAATATAACTGTATCAATAATAAGAAATTTTCCACTATTTAATCGAATTAATGACATATGAGAACCAACATCAATTAGACCAGCCAACACTTTAAAATGTACTCGGATATTCCAAAAATTTGTTCCAATTTCATATAAGACATTTTTATCAATATGAACTGGCTCAGAGCTTGATGCTGACATTTTAAAATCTAGAAAGATAATAATTCATTTAGTATTTCGGAGACACGCTTTATTAACAAATATGTCAAGTGACATAGCTTTTATTATGAACCGTTCAAGGCATTAATACGCTTGATTTTATCCTTTTAAAATATTATAGAAAAAAAGATCTAGAGTAATTATTTCTTTTTCCTGACATATAGTTGCTTGTTTTTCCAGTTCTTTATTATTTCCAGGGTAGTTGGAAGCAAAACTAAGCTAATATAATTGAATACTTGCTTTTGTATTCCAGTAATGTTGAATATTCAGCACATGTCAGAAGAAAAAAAAACAAATATTTACCTTAAATTTTTTTCTTTCATGATTATAGCAATACGAACAGAAAAAAAAAGTCTTCAAGGACATATTTTGTTATAGATCGGCAAGGCAAATCATTCATCTGTCTCGCATGTCGCAGGTTCGAACTCATTAAAAAACAATGCAGCATGGCGCGACCATCGAAAACACATTATTAGATAAGTTTTCGAGTCATGCTATCGGCTGTAAAGTACTCAAGTGATACAGATTCAATAGATATATAAAATAGAAGTATTTCTATAGGACGTTAATCAAAGTCAATCAATCAATTCATAGGATATATGTTTATACTCATTATATAGGGTAAACCATAAATAGCATTATGATAAAGAATTGAACTATCTCTAATTCGGTTCGACTACTGACAAATGATAGCTTTAGTCTCACTAAAGAAATTTCATCTATTGCCAAGTAAGAAAAATACATATGAAGCGTTTCATAGATAATTTTCAGTTGTCATCCAAGAAAATAATAATAATAATAAGTCAAAGCAAACTAGATTGATGAACACAGAGCAAGTTTTTCATAATTACTAGTCAGTTGAAATGTTAAAAATATGTATGTCCGATGAGTAAAACGCATTATTGCACCCCATTGAGCACCAACTTCCTGGCAAAACAAAACAGTATTTCATGTTTGAAAATTTGAAATCTTGTAATCATTGACTTGGAAACTAACTAATTAGTTGTGAAAATTTGCTCTATGTACATCAATATAGTAACATTCATACAGTTGGTTTCTATTTCTTCTTATTGTCTTAGACATCAACTAAAAATTATCTATGAAACATTACACACGAATTTTTCTTACTTGATAACAGGTAAGATTACTTTTATGATACCAACCATAATACTTGATAGTAGTATTTGCTTACCTTATCCATATGAGAAAAAAGAAACTTTAAATAAACTGCTACCACTAACTAGAAGATCAATTCATTTGATTGAAGCGACGCGGAGATATTTCATTTTTTGTTATCATTCTATTTATGACTTGCCACGTATATTTTTCAGCTAAAACAATTTGATTTCAGTTACAATATCTTAATATTTGAGATTTAAAACCTTCCATATTGAAAATTAAAAAAAAAAAGATAAAATTTCATCATGACCATTATTTAAAAACTTCTGTGAGTTTACTTTTGTCATTGAGATGATAAAGATGTTACGACGTCAAAAATAAAATTTTGTAATGCTTGATCATGCTGAAACATCATGCAGCAATTTCTAGTCAAAACAAAACGAAATATTTTTCAGGTGCTAGTTTCGATTTCAATAATTCTTTTACTCATAGAGATACGCCATAGTTTTCTAATAAAACCCTAAAACGATAGGGTCCCTATTAAGATTTTACCAAACTATCAAACTTTTAATATGTCTATTTTCTAGAAAGCATACCTTTGTGGACAACTCATATTTTCAAGTTTTGATCTCAAACAATGTACATATAGAGAACTCAACTAGACTAACTTACATAAAGAAATTCAAAAGTTTTGAACAAAGTCTCTTGAAGATATGAAACTTTCAAAAAATGCATGCTATATATATTGTCCATGGAAAAGGGTCTATATCTTGAAAGACTTCTATTTTGATTTAAACTTCGTTGAAGACTTTAAAATTTTTCCTTGGAAGTTACACTGTAGTTGAGTTCTCTATATGTGCAACATTTCAGACCAAAACTCGAAAATACCTGTTTTCTGAAAAATGCAAGGCTTCTAGAGATAAGTTCGATAGCTTAGTCAAATATCAATAGAAACTGAAATCCTTTTAAAATTTTTACCAGAAGACTCAGTAGTCGTAACTGTCCGACATCACCTTACTTGAATTGAATGTAACCTGGTGTTATATATATATCATCGAAAATATGGAACTTTTTCATTCTATTCGGTGATCCTATAATATAGGTAATGATAAGATTCAATACTCGGATGAAATAAGTTTGAGTGGGATATTAACAACCTACCGTAATACTTTTGTTTCAATCATTATACAATCATAAAATAACAAAAATTAGCTTCGAATTGAATAAAATAAGATTTTTAAATAACCAGAGCATAGTCATGCAGTTGAATATGAAACAAGATCTTTTTGTCAATTTTCATTTTCATTTTTATTGTAATCTTCTTTGTTATTCCGTTCGGTTCAAAATCAAAATTCAGTTTATGTTAATTACGATTTTCAAATGCCATTAATTCTTTTCTATTTGAACTATTACTACATTCATTCAATAAAAAAAGAAATCATCAATAGAATAAAAACATATCTTGTATGCGCATTGAAATCACTCTCAACTTCAAATAATAAATATTTGCCTATTAATCCTATCAAACATAACCTTATTGTCAACGACTGCACTTTTCTTTTTCTATTTCTCTTACACCCATAAAAAAATCTTTTCAAAAAATTCTCTTTCATAATACTGATTGATATTTATTATTGAAAAAAAAACCAAAATCAAACACACGTGTACGTTTTCATACGTTCGCTCTAACACTATGAGCTGACTGACAGCAGAGCAAATAAAAAGAAGAAAAAAGAAGAGGAGATTAATCAAGAGTAAAAAAACGATTATAACAAGTCTTTACACAGACGTACAAAACAAATAAAGCACCCACTGTTCAAATTCAACATATGTATGTATGGTTATATATGTGTGTGTTTCTGATTTCTATATGTTGTGTAAAAGACCAAGAAGACAGCACAAGAAAAAAAAATAAATGAAAATGAAATAAAATTAAAAAAAGAAAAGAAAAGAAAGAAACCTGTGCTGATGATACGACAGTTAACAAAATTCAACAGAATAATAACGAATCAATCAAATTCCTGCATACAATATAGTTCATTATTTTTTCCTATAAGTAGATAAATGACTTTTGTATCTCAAATCATAATACAAGCCTGACTAATGGACGTATAAATGATTAAGATAAACTATTAAAATGAGAATTAAAAAAAACGAAAAGAAAAAAAAACGAACGCGCGAGAGAGAGTGTGTGTGAAAATGTTTAATGTTTCTTCAATGTTTGCCCAACATAGTAGTTTCCAGTTTGATAACCACCTTGTCCAATGCCTTGTTGTGTTTTCAAACAAACCGTACAACGACTTATTTTATTTCTATGATTGCCAGATTTTAATGTTTCTTGTCGGGGGATTTCAAATTGATTATTTTGATCAATAACAGTCATCCAATAACTAAATTTATTTGCATAATACATACAATTACCATCAGTTCCTGAACATTCAATAAATGGTGTTGCACGAAAATCTTCAAGACATGAACCAGTACTTGATAATGATTGGCCACCGCCTTGGGCACCACGACCAAGATGCTACAAAAAAGAAAAGTAAAACAAATTCTTATTTACATATAATGATAAGCAAGATATCCTTTGGTACTAATAAAGGACAAATATCATTTGTTATTTTTATAAAATAAGCAAAAAGAATTTTCTTTTCTTTTTAACATACCATTACAAAACTGTAACCTTGCCATAGGATATTCCAACCACTTGGACATGGTGGTGGTGTCATTGATAAACTATGGAATGACATAACATTGGCAGGTGCTTCACACACAGCACAACGTGATATATATGGTCGAATTTGTTCACGTTGAACAGGCATCATTGGCATTGGTTCTGTTGTTGATAAATAATATGTTAAATCATTTGTTTGACCATAATAACAAACATTTGTATGATCACAACGTAAATATGGTAATGCTGAAAATTTTTGAAGACATGAACCAGCCGAACCTAAATATAAATTTTAAGATTTAGGTTTAATGAATGAAACAACGAAAATCAAAAATCTACCAAGATCTTGATGATAACCATGATCATTGCCCTGCATCATAAGTAAACTATAACCATCCCAAAGTTTAACCATGCCAGATGGACATTCGGGTACTTGAGCTGATTGTGAATGACGTACGACCAGAAAACCAGTTCGTTGAAGACCAGGGCCTGGTGGACCAGGAGGACCACTAGCACCTAGAATTTACAAAAAACAATAATTATTATAAATGATTTTTTCAAAATTCATTACCTGGTGGACCAGCAATACCACTAACACCTGGAATACCTGAAGTACCCTAAATTATAATTAACACGATAAGAATCTTGAAACACAAAAGATTTTCTATCAAAATATACTTACACGTTCACCTTTAGGTCCAACATAACCTGGTAAACCTGGTTGACCGGGTTGCCCTGGTGGACCAGTTTCTCCTCGTGGACCAGATGGACCTATTGATACATAAATAATTAATAAAAGAAAATAGATTTTATAGACATACCTAGTGGTCCTTGAAGTCCGGGCAAACCTTTAAACAAGAAAATAAAAATTTATACAAAGATAAAATAAAGAATACCATCTTACCTGGTAATCCTGCTGGACCTTGATCTCCTTTCAAACCAGGACGACCAACGACTAGGTCTGGTGGAGCACATTCACCTTTCAGACCAGGTACACCTGTTTATTTAAATAAAATAGAAAAAGAAATAAATGATTTTCAAAAACAAAAAATTAAATAAGTATTTACCGGGCAATCCAGGAGAACCAGGACGACCATCAAGACCACGGTCACCTTTCTGTCCGGGAAGGCCTTAAAAAAGACGAACAATAAGCATACCTTTCAAAGCTTACTATTTACACATACCTGGACTGCCTGGAAATCCACTATTTCCTAGAAGATTAAACAAAAAATGAGTAAGTATACTTTCATTGTAACAAGAAAAACTCACCTTTTTCGCCTGGTAGACCGGGTTGACCTATATATTTATATTGAAAATAAAAGTACATCATGAAATATAAAAAAAAAAGAGTTTTGACAGACAAACCTGGCATTCCAGCAAAGCCACGTTCGCCTTAAAATAAAGATAGATTGCCTTTTGTGACCGGATTCTTTCTCGAGTAAACATACCTGGAAGACCCGGTAAACCACTTGGACCTGGAAGTCCATCACGTCCTTTAGGACCTGGAATACCTGGCAAGCCAGGGGCACCGGGAAGACCTAACATAATGAAAAATATATTATTTGTGTTTTCCTTCAAGATTAAAATTAGTTTTTATACTAACCATCTTTACCCATTGAACCAGGGGGACCTACAAATGTGATAGAAAACCAATGCAAAAGAAAAAAACAAAATAAGTGTCTTACCTTGTAAACCTGGTGAACCTGGAAGACCTGGGAGGCCAGCATCACCTTTCTAAATAAATACGAGAAAAAAAACATTTTTATTTATTTCGTCTATTTATTAACATACTGGTCCAACAATAGGTGTATCACAATCTCGACCAGGAATACCAGCTGGACCGATTAAACCTAGATTTCTGAAAGTAGAAAAAGAAATAAAATTAAAAAACAAATTTTTTATTCATTTCTATCTTACCCTTTCTCTCCTGGAAGACCTGGCATGCCTGTTGAATTTTCGAAGAACAATAAAGATTATATCTTGCTAAATTCATCATTATTTTCTTACCATCACGACCACTTAGACCAGGTTCACCTTTAGGACCAGGCGTAGCAAAACCTAAAATAAAAATAATTTAAATATTATGCAATGAAATATTCGATTTTATATTTACCTGGTTCACCTTTTTGACCTGATGCCCCTGGTAAGCCTATAATAAGAGAAACGAATTCATTAAAAAAAGTCATTTCTTTTATATAGTTATTAAATATACCAAGATCTCCAGGAAGGCCAGGTGCTCCGTTCAATCCAGGTGGACCTATAGAAAATGGTCATAGCAAACAAAAACTCTTTTTGATAATTTTATACAGTACCATTTGAGCCTGGTAAGCCTGGTAAACCTGCATCTCCTATACAATGTGAGAAAATAATTTATTCAGATTATTATTCATGTCAAAGACACAAACCCTTTTGTCCTGGAAGTCCATTGGTGCCAGGAGTACCTGGTGGACCAACAAGACCTGGTGCGCCTGGTAAACCTAGAGAAAACATGATTGAAAACATATATTAATATATAATAGTAGAAAATATTATTTACCTGGTGCGCCAGCAGCACCTTTAGCTCCCGGAACACCTACAAAGTAAACAAAGAAGTCAGATGAACGAATATCATATATATGAAATAAATATACCTGGATATCCATTAAGACCACGTTCACCTTTAAGACCTGGTAAGCCAGCACCACCATCTCGACCTGGTAAGCCTGATTCACCTTTGCTTCCCGAAATACCTTGACAAAAAAGTTAAAAAAACAGTTTCATAAAAAGCAAAATATTAGTTTATTGATTTTGTTTACCATTCATGCCTGGTGGTCCATTCAAACCTAATCGAAAACAATGCATATGTTTTATTGTTAATTAAGTTTTCTATTCCTACCTGGTGGACCTGCTTCACCTTTAGGTCCAGGTAATCCATTGTATCCATTATCACCTGTAAAACAAATGAATTCATTATTATTGTTATGATATTTGACATTGTTTATATAAATTACCTTTCGGTCCAACAGCGCCAGGAAGTCCAGGTGCGCCTATAATAAATAATAGTAAATTATTAAAGTCTTTATTTAGTTATCAATTTTACCTGGTAACCCACTGGGACCTGGTAAACCCTACAAGAAGAAAAAAAATTAAAAAAATTCACATTTTAAAATACAAAATTTTTATTTACTCGTTCACCCGGTGCACCAGGAGCTCCTATAAAATACAAGATAAATATTTAAATTATGTATCTATATATTTTCTTACCAGCATTGCCCGGAAATCCACGTTCACCAGGAGTTCCTGGTATACCCGATGGACCTGGAAGACCTGGTTCACCTATAGCTCCTTTGATACCTACATCAAATGAAAAACAAACATATCAAAATCAAAAGTCGAAAAAGACGTTGTGCTTTTACCTGTTTGACCAACAGCACGTTCTCCTTTAGCCCCTGGAAGACCCGGTAATCCATCTTTACCCGGAGCTCCTGGAAGGCCTGGTGCGCCTGGAAGACCTGGTGGTCCACTAAAAAAATAGCAGAGAAAATATAAATGCAAACTATTTACTATATATTTTACCGTTCGCCTGAAGGTCCACGTGCAGCAGCTGCACCCTATTGAATAATTCTCTTAAAATTTCATATTATTATATTTATATTGAACTTACTGGTTCTCCTTTTTGACCTGGTAGACCGGGTGCACCTGATAAACCTCGATCACCTCGTTGACCCGGAATACATGATGTACAAGCTTGTCCTGGTAAACCCGATAGACCTTAATTAAACAAACAAAACATAATTGACTGTTATAAAATTAATAAATCTTCGTACCTCGATCACCCTTTGGTCCTAAAGTACCCTATAATGAAAACAAAAATTCAATCAAAATTAATCAATTATATGTATATTCAACTTACTGGAAGACCTGGTAATCCACTTGGTCCTGATGCTCCTGGAAAGCCTGGAACACCTTTTTCACCTGGTAAACCTGGTACACCATTCAATCCTGGACCTCCATTCAATCCACGTTCACCTTTCATTCCCGGTAAACCTGGTAAGCCTGGTTCTCCTTTAGCTCCACTGTAAATTAAACAAAACAATAATATGAAATGTTTAAAGTTTGAATAAACTTACGGTAATCCAGCAAAACCTTTTTCTCCAGCAAAGCCGGGGGCACCTGGTGGACCAATTGGTCCAGGAAGACCTTTAAATATGAAGAAAGAATTTGATATTTTTTCTCAAACTATGCCAATTTATATACCTGGTAAGCCTAAACAAAAGAAAACAAGAACAATGATGAATTGAATCAAGAAAAAGAAATATCAATAAAAACTTACCATCTATACCGGGTGCGCCTGATGGACCTGAAAAAGAAAGAATAAACAAAGTTAAAAAACTTCACAATTCAACTAATTTTTTTCACAATTCCTTACCTTGATCACCTTTTTGTCCACCAATACCTGGTTCTCCTCGATCACTGTAAATAAAAAAGAATAAAACAAGTTATATATTAACCATATGTATCTACCCTTTTATGCCCACGGGTCCGGGGAGACCATTAACACCGGGTAGACCAGATTCTCCTATAAATTGAAAAAAAAATTATACACTATCATTTTTCTTTTTATTTCATCATATACCTTTCATGCCTGGCAATCCACTTTCACCCATTGGTCCAGGTAAGCCTATAATAACATAGAGATTTAACTATAAATTTATTATTTTCTCATGAAATAAAATTCGTACCTGGAAATCCACGTTCACCAGCCGGGCCAACAGGACCAGGGGCTCCTAAAATAATGCATAATATTTATAGATTTCTTTTGTGAAAGAGAAATAATAAATTTCTTACCTGGAAAGCCTGGACCTGGAAGTCCTGGTTCACCTTTTTCTCCTATAAAAAGATCATTGATCGAAAAAAAATTCGATCGTTGTATTATATGAAAACATACCTGGACGACCTGATAAACCTGGTGCTCCATCTGAAAATAGAAATGATTAAAATAAACAACGATCAATATCTATGATATAGATATTTACCAAATCCTTTTGGACCTGAAAGACCTGGTGTTCCATCACGACCGGGAATACCTATATAAAATAAATATTGCTTTTTTTCTTATTCATAAATATTGAAAACTATAAACACACCTGGTTCTCCACGATAACCTAATAGAAAAACAAGTCAAAGAGATTAGTTTTGTTATAAAAGGAATCTTAGTTTTCAACATACCTGTTATGCCCTTTGGTCCCGGAAGACCTGGAATACCGGGTAGACCTGGTTCGCCTTTAGCTCCATGTGCTCCGGGTAATCCTGATAAACCATTTGGACCCTAGAAAATTTCGATTAAAAATATCTAATGATTCATTATAGATAGATCTTACTGGAAGTCCTGGGGTCCCTGGAATGCCTGCTAATCCACGATCACCTTTCTCTCCTTGTGGACCTGGCATGGCTGCTAATCCTGGAGGTGCTGATCGACCTAAAACAATAGAAAACATGTTAAATAAATATTTCCTTCTATAAATTTATGTATATACCTGGTTCTCCCTTTTGACCTGCAGTACCGTGTGGACCAGGAATACCTATTTGAGAAGAGAAAAAAAACAGCCGATAAGAGAAATGATATAATAGAGATTAATTATACGTACCGACTGGACCTGGAATACCCTTTTCCCCTTTTTCACCTGGAAGTGTAGCACCTGGTGGACCAATATCACCCATGGGACCTGGACTACCTGGCGGGCCTGGTTGACCGGGATAACCAGCATCACCCTATGAGAATAATATCATCTTTGAACGATATTTATAGAAAAAAATAATTATTCACTTTTGGTCCGACTGGCCCCATAGCACCTGGTTGACCATCACGACCACTATAACCTGGTGCACCTGAAAATAGAAAAACGTATAAAAATAAAAAATAAATAATTTAATTTATCTCTTACCTTTCTCACCGCGATCACCTTTCAAACCGGGAAGACCTAGCAAAAATGAATTATTCGAATATGTTTTTCTATAAAAATAATACTCGAACCTGGTGTTCCTTTTTCTCCTGAAACTCCTTGTACTGTTGCAACACGAGCTGGTTCTCCCTATGTAAACAAATCTCATTAATATAATCAATAAAATTTTAATCCTGCATACTTTTTCTCCTTTTCCACCCGGTATACCATCATTACCATTACGACCCTAATTTAGGTAAAAAAAGAAGCTTCTATGAAACAATTTTTAAAAATCATTTTAACTTACGGGTGCACCAGCTGAACCAACATTACCAGGATAACCTTGTGGGCCAACATCACCTCGATCACCTTTTTCTCCTGATGTACCACGTTGACCAGGTGTACCTAAATAAATATTATTAATAAAAAACCTATATTCTTTTGATATAAAAACGTTTATTTACCAGCTTCTCCAGGATAGCCTGGTTCACCCTTGCTACCTTTCAAACCATCACGAGCACCACATACACCATCAAGTCCTGATAATAATAGTTTTTTTCTTACAGATGAAGTTTTTTCTTTACTCTTCCTAATTATCACTTACCTCGATCTCCTTTAGCTCCTTTCATACCAGCAACACCTTGAAAACCAGGTACGCCAGAACTGCCAGGTGGACCCACGGCTAAAAAATTATAAAATATTATTGCAGATACTAAAAAAACATAGAAGAAATACATACGTCCTTGTGGACCAGGTATACCAACACCAGCGGTTGAATTGCCAGGTAAACCAGGTGTACCACGTAGGCCGGGTTCACCTGTAAACGTAAACATCAATAAAATTTGCTAATTTTTTTAACCGATTAATTTCATACCTTTTTGTCCTGCTGGACCAGATTGACCAGGATAACCATCAAGACCAGGTGGGCCAGCAATTGCACGACCCGGTTCACCTAGAAAATTCAAAAGACATGAATATTAAAAAAAACACTAATTTATTTATTACACGTACCTTTTGGACCCGGTTCACCTTTAGCTCCACGATAACCTATAAAAAATCAATATAAAAAATCAATTTATATAATTTTGAACCAACCTTGTGGGCCGGGAAATCCAGATGGACCAGGATCACCTATGATACAATGGGTATATTTAGAACATTTATACTTTTCTTTATAAATAAATTCTTTACCATGTCGTCCACTATCTCCTCTTTCGCCTTTCATACCATCACGTCCGGCTGAAAAGCAAAGAACAAAAAAATCAATATGATCACATTTTTCGATAATCACAAAAACAACTTACGTTGACCAGGGCTGCCAGGTAATCCATCAAAACCACGATCACCTTTTGGTCCTTGACTTCCAGGTAAACCCTATCAAGGAAAAAATTAGTTAAACCATTCAATGGTAATTTCATTTTAAAATACTCACCGGTGGTCCAGGATAGCCGGGTGATCCGGGTGGACCTAGAGAAATTATATATATTTTTTTTCTACAAACCTCTTTCAATTATTTACCGCGTTCTCCTTTTGGTCCCTATAAAGAAAAAACAAAATAAAAATCTAAAAATTTATTTCTCAACTTACTGCTGGTCCAGGTTGTCCAGGCAATGAATCCGTTCCTTGATCCTATTAAGAAACAAGAAAATAAAAATATAAACAAGTTTTTTTGTTTTGAGATATACAGACAGGTAAACACATGCCAGGCATACCAGGGAAACCACGATCACCTAAACAAAGATGTCTATTTTGTTTTGCTATTCCTAAAATGACAAACCTTTTTCTCCTGGTAAACCATTTTGACCAGGTCTTCCTGGGCTGCCCTGTAGATTAAAATATATATGTATATAAATGCTTATTATGATTTATCACATACTGATTGGCCAGGATAACCAGGACTACCACGATCACTAAATAAACAAACAAAAGTAAGTAATAAATATCACTGTAAAAAGAAAAAAACCTTACCCTGATTGTCCAGGGAAACCAGCTTGACCAGGCATTCCAGTAGCGCCCTATTTAAAATAAATATAAAACTGAAAACGAAAATAATTAATTCAATAATACTTACACGAGGTCCAACAGGACCTGGTACACCTTTTTCACCGGGTAACCCTGGTGGTCCGGCAGAACCAGGTGCACCTGGATAACCAATCTCTCCAGGTTCTCCTTTAGGTCCCATAGCACCCTATTATTCACAATTGATTAAAAAATTTGTTGTTTTTTTCTTTTTTTAAGAACATATACCTTTTGACCCGGTGCGCCAGGAATCGATAGTGGAACATAACTGTAGTTACCTTGTATTTCAGCGATCGATGGTGGTGTATAAGGAGCAGATGATCCCTAAATTTACAAGAATAGAAAGTTTTTTTTTTTTTTTGTTTATAATATTTGCACTTACAGGCTCTCCTTTTTGACCTTTTTCACCACTAAGTCCAACTCCAGCGTTACCTAATAAGATTTGAAAAACAAATTATTATTTCAATTAAATAAGTTTGTCATCATACCTGGACGACCTGGTTCACCTCGTTCACCTCGTGCACCCTAAATATTTCATTCATATATATTAATAATCAATAATTATCTGCGTAGTTACTTACTTCACGTCCAGGAAAACCAATTCCACCTGGTGCTCCAGGCATTCCAGAATTGCCAGGAGGCCCCTAGATAGGTAAAATATAATTATTCTTATAGAAGCAAAAAAAAATGAATACTTACAGCAGCACCGGGAAGACCAGGAGGTCCCATTTCTCCCTGAAAAAAAAGTAGCATTCAATTAAGAATCGTTTTCTTTTTTCTTTTTTTGACAACTTACGATTTCTCCTTTATATCCGGGTAAAGCTTGTGCAGGTTCACCTATAAGATAAAAAATGATAAATAAATTCTATAGACTACAACATTTGTTTTGTACCCTTTGGTCCTCTTTGTCCAGGTAGACCTAAAATATAAAAAATATTATATAGTAACCAAAAAGTATACTATTTGATTTCGTCCATTTACGCACCAGGTTCACCGGGACGGCCAGGCTAAAAATTTAAAAAAGTGAAATTAGAATATGACAAAAATTAAATTAATTTATCTATTTTACCTGTCCACTAAATCCTGATCGGCCAGGTTCTCCCTATATAAATATAATAACAAATTAAAAAGAATATTTTTATAATCAATACGCACTTTTGTTCCATTACAACCATCACGACCAGGTAAACCTGAAAATAATCAATCGTTCATTTCATTGACCCTCATATATACTGATCATTTACCTTCTGGTCCCTAAAATAAAATAGGAAATAATATTATAAATTATATGAGAAAAAATATATTGAAATACTTACTCTTGGACCCGGAAGACCAGGCAAACCGGGATGGCCTAAAATGAAAGATATTTATATAGAATAAACAAATGAAATAGTCAATTTATTCATACCAGGCATTCCTGGTTCACCGGATCGTCCCTATTAATTGAGAAAAAAAACACATTAAGAAAAAAAAATATTCTGTTATTTTATATCATAAAATACTTACTCTGTCACCTTTTTGACCAGGTAGGCCGGGTAAACCCCGATCACCTTTTTCTCCTTTCATACCCTCCGGCCCTAAATATTAAAGTTATAAATATCTATAACAAATTATAATAGAAAAAAAAATCATTACCTTCAGGACCATGAACACCATCTGACCCTCGAGCACCCGTAGGACCCATTGGACCAGCTGGACCCTAAATAGATCAATTAATATTACATATGACAACTGTTTTTTTTTAATTCTATTCTTATAAATTTACCTGATCTCCTTTTTGTGCTATACAAAAACATGGTTGATTACAATTATTGCAATCACCGCTAGTTTTAGGAACTCTTGGTTGATATTGGGATGGACCATAGCCGGGTGCAAATGCATAACCTGGTGGTGGTGTTACCGTATTGGAATCGTTATTCTAGAAGACAAGAAAAATAACAATCACATTTATGTATATATTCATGGAACTTATTCGTTGCCTTTTAATTTGGCTGTAAACTGTTTATTATATCATACACAGATATGCCTTCTAGGGCAGCATTTTCTACCTCATCTTCTGTTCATCGTATCACGGCATTTAGTCTCCAGTTGTTCTCTTTCTCTCTCTTGCTTACAGTAATAGAGAATGACAAAATAATTAGTATCGATAATGATGAGGCAAGTCACTCAATCACCACCGTCATCGTTCAATTGACTCAAATGTATATATACACAGGCGCCTTTTTGTCTGTTCATGGTGATAGAAAATATGCTTGAACTGTTTATTCACAGTAGTTGCCTGTTTATTATCGCTACTAGTTGTACGAAACGATTGCATCATAAATCCACGTGAAGATAAACGTAACTAAAACATATGAAATACATACTCTGTATTGAGCATTGCTTGTTTCAATGAAAATGGATAGGATAAGTAGAAATAAAATGGAAGCATAGTTTAGCCTAAAAAAGAAAACAAATAAAAACAATATTTCTTTGTTTTTTCTTTATTATTTTGGATAAGATTACAACAAAATATCCATATATATAGATATCAATGAAATAAAATGAATAAAGATAGCATGATGTGATGCAGATGATCTATCCTATCCATATGTACATCAATATACATTCATTTATTCTCTATTGATGTCCTCCAGCTTATCAAATTTCTGATCATTTCCATTGATCAATGCAATAGAACATCAAATCTATTGCCTTCTTATTATTGTGAATATTGGCAAATAGCTTGTCAAGCTTGTCACTCATTACATAAATATATATATATGTAAAGTTGAGAATAAGATAGATATCAATTTGAACACGCCTAGATATACAGATGATCGATGTATAATCATAAAATATTCTCTCTTTTTTTCTCTATATTTTTTCACTTAACACTACAAGCTCGTAATGCTTATCATTCATTCTCACTTCACTTTCAATTTAAGTTTACTCTGATATAAAACACACGTGTACAGACATACTATATAGATTCAGTATGTATATATATATATATATGTACGTAAAGAATGAGACTAGAAATTATTAAGTACTCATTGAACATCAATTAAACACAAAGATGAAGAAAGAGTAACCTAAAATTCAGTGATGTATTAAGATGTATCGGTTGAATAGTTGACTATAATATCGTTTCTTTTACTACATAATGGACAAGCTCTTGACAATAAAAGAATAAGAAAGTAAATGCTTTGTTCAAGGAATAAACACGAATATTCTACAGTTTTTCTTTTTGTTGCATCACATTACTATACTCTCTTCTTATTATTCTTTTAACAAAGATGAGAAGTGGCAATGTATGCATTTATGTGTATATGCATGTATGTACGTATGTTTGTTCCCATTATCAGATCATGCGTAAAAGAAAGACAATGGTGATATTACGCATTATCCATATCTAGTTTTCTCTATTATCATTCTTAGAGTGTTCTTATTTTAGTTGAACTTTATGAGAGAAACAGAATATTTATGTGTGTATGTGTGCATGTGTCTTCAAGGTAGTTCATGGTATCACGATTACTACCCTTCCCTTTTCGCGGAAAAGAAGAAAAGAAATTAATAATAACTGTTAGGTAAATAAACAAACTGATGTATGCATATGTGAGAATAACATGTAACTAGAATAATATGATGAATGATATTGACTATTTCTTTCTTTATATTTTGTTTTGAAAAGAAATTGACCAGTAGTCAAATAATATATATATATATATATATATATAAATCATGAATGTACTTACCTAATAGTATGAATATATAACCATTTTGTATACGTTTTATGGAATATTATTCTTGCACACATTTGGCATACGATTAATAGAACAATAAAGAAACTTGTATAATTTTCTTCCTTATTACTCTTGTTAATGTTGTCCTTTGTTCGATTATATGGCAATGACGATAGTATGTTTACTATGGGCTATAGCAATGACAGAGTCCTTCTAGTTTATTGCTATCTTTTAGTACATATCGACGTCAACATCGGATAAAAATGGCCTTAACACCACTGGTGGTTGCCATCTTAGTGCGATAATTAATAATTCTTGAATATTGTACAGAAAAGAAGAAAAACTAGTAACGTTATCTTATGTACAAAACGGTGATAGAATAGTACACAGAGACGATGGGCGATGAGAGATGAACGCGAGTAGGCAAGGAAGCAAAGGAAAGGAAAAAAGATAGATAAACCAAGGAATTATTATGTGATCTCAATAATCTATTAGCACAAAAAGCCAAGGAGGAGAATTGACGAGGACAAACGAGAACGATCGTACTTTGTACTAATATAACCGCAAAAAGGATAAGAAATGTATTTTTAGCTGTGTAATAAAAGTACGATAAATTTAGAAACAAGATTCTTTTTTTGGTACTCTTATTCATCCAAATATTAGCTTCTTCTGTGGTCAGCTCAAGAAAAAAAAAGACGAGAACTGTTCTTTTTATTTCTCCTTCTATTTCATCAATTGATGACATATGAATGTATAAAATATAAACATAGAGAGAGATACTCCGGTCTAAAAAAAGGATACGTAAAAACGAGATCTTTGTTATAATATACACACATATAAATTCACTGTTAATATTGATGGTAATATCATGCAGAGAGAACAACAGAAAGCAAACAAAAGAATAAATGAAAGATATCTCTTCCTTCTTTCTTTTTTCTCTTAATAAAAAACCTATGAAAAAGATTCATAAACATACAATGACGATGGTCGACATCATATGTCAATCGTTTTGATTCAGTTTATGTAACGGCGCGTGTATATGAAAGATGAACAGAAACGAAAAACTCTCTTGCGAATGATCTATAAATGAAGAAAAAAGGAAAGGCAAACTAGCCATGAACAGTTGAGAGTCTATTCATATGCAGCTCTCCTTTTTTCTCATACACACATATGCAACCACACATACATACATACATACATAAATATATACATATACAGATCAACGGACGGTATAGATCAATTGGAATGAACAAAAAAAAGTGTACACACATACACGTTTGTATTTAAAAACAAAATATAAACACTTCTGCGACTTTTCATTTTCTCTTTTCTTTTATTATTCAATGTTGAATCAAAATTCAATAAGTAATTTAAATGGCTTACCTTATAGTCCGCAAACGGGACGATTTTGAAGTTAATGTTGCTAGTTGCATATTGTCAAATGACCTGTCTATAGTCACGCGCGATTCGGCGGCGACGGACAGCTACAGTAGTTGCACTGTCGTCGTTGTATAGTCTACAACAGATGAATAAAGATCGAACGCGAGGAGTCGCTGAAAAAAGTGCTAACGTTGTAGAAACTGGACTATTTTCTTCCCTTGGTACAATAATATCAATCGTCTTACTACAATCATAGAAAGAGAGAGAGAGAGAGAGGGAGAGAGGGAGAGAGGGAGAGAGAGAGAGAAAGAGAGAGAGAGAGAGAAGAGAGATGACACTCAAATCCACCAACCAGAAAAACGCGGTTTTTGTTCTATATTCCCTTCTCGATGAAAGATGAATATCGATTGTGTTTTACCGCTTCTGCTGTTTCTGTGTAGTAGTAGGACTGATAACATACATAATATTACATACACATATATACGTAAGACATTTTCTCTTACATACAAACACTCGCCCTGCGTAATTTGCTACCACAATCATTATCGTCCAGTTTTCTTATGATGCATTCGCTTTTTCTCCCAAAAAAAAAAAGACAGAGAAATGTAGAGAGAAGAAAAAGAGAGGGAAAAGAAAAAAAATGTACATGTTGTACAGCTCGAACTAGCTTTTTCGGCTGGACTAGTGTCCGTTATTGCTACGACCGTTATCAACTAACCAACAATTGAACACGTTTTTATATAAACGTGTCAAAAACACATTGAGTAAGAGATAAAAACAGACAGACATATCTTTTCTTTTGTTTATTTTTTGTGATTGTCTATAGTGAAGATAGAATTATTAAAAAAAGAACGAGAAGACTTTACACCTCAGATATCTCATAATTATGTTTGTATTCTTTCTTTTCTTTGTTTTTCTATTGTAGATTACAGATTGATTATTGAATTTCGTGTGTCGTGTTTGTGTACGCACGCGCCCGATGGCTTCATTATTGAGGCCGTTCATCATCGGTCTTATTTTATTTTTATCTATTCTTAGTCAAATTGAAACTCGAACAGTCAGTATTTATTTTAGATATTTAATTTGATTTTCAATATATTTTGATTTTTGTAATTATTTTTATAGGCTCAAAATGATGATGTATCAAATATTAGAGTAAAGAGACAAGAATATAATCCGTATCCTTATGATCACCGACAACGATATCCTCAACCTCCATCCGGACAATATCCATCAAAAGAACCTAGTGAAACACAGGTTCAAAGTTCTGAATGTAAAGGTTGTGGTCCACGACGTGATTGTCAATGCCCTGGAAAAGGTGCTATGGGTATAACTGGTATGTTCTTGAATATTATTATTATTTTTTTTAAAGCAAATGTTAAATGAAAATGATTTGATATAATATTTGTTGTTATTTTTAGGTCCACAGGGTTTTCCAGGTATTCCAGGCGATCGTGGTCTTAAAGGTCCGTCAGGACGATCAGGCAATTCAGGTGTTTCTGGTGAAAAAGGTGATCGTGGTCAATATGGTAACAAAGGAGAACGAGTAAGTTACAATTATTTATTCTTTTTATTTTTATATTTTCTTTTTCATATCTTTAAACAAATAGGGTGATGATGGGTTATTGCCTATTGATGGTCAAAATGGTTTTCCTGGACAGTCTGGTGCTGTCGGTCCACGCGGTATTCCTGGTGTACCCGGTTGTAATGGTAGCAAGGTAAAGAAACATGAGAGATGTAATAGAGTGAATGTCTCTGTTGTATATGTTTATTCAATATATACAATATTGAGTACGTTTTCTATTCTCGTCTTCATCATTCTGATGAGATAAGACCTAACTGCAAATAAACCAAGGCCGGTACATACGTACTGATATGACATATGAGGGGAAAGTGTACATTTTTCTTTTCCTTCTCTTTCTATCTATAGATAAATTAGAGAAGCCAAGTCATCTATGTATATCCTTGATAAGAATTGTCTGACGTAAGGGATAAATGAAAATCATAATTGGTCTTGTCTGTCATTCGTTTTTTACCCTCAAGATTTCTTATCATTACAGACTTTGTCCATATTTCATTTTCAGACGATCCCAAAAATGTAATTATCTGAGTTTGTTGCGGTACATGCGACCTTGGTTTTTCTCTGGATATGGATAAATGAAAAAGCAAACCCGCAGAAAATGACGATTATATAAATAATTGCTTCCTTTTTTGTCTTTCTCATGTCCTTCTAACAACCTCACGACCTTGGTAGAATGATTCTTATATTGCGGTTTGGCCCTATTACTCATATAATAAACATAATCCATATGGATAACTAAACAGATATTGAAAGACAATGAGGTCATAGATGCCAGCTGTAAGAAGTCTTTGACTTCTGAATTCTATATATATACAAACCGTAATTATTAGTACTCATATCTACTAGCAAATATCTTTCCACTATATTACCCAATGCATATGTATAAATAGAAAAGAAAAATGTGTAGATAGACAACTAATGTTGCGACAAACTTATGCATCTTGTAAACAGTTTCAGTGATGAGTGCTATTTATGGTATGCTAACATGCATAAAGAAATTTTTTCTTGCTAGCGATACGTTTATCCAACTAATAACGATGGAAAAATGTGTATACATAGATATATATTTGGATGATGCAATAATTGTTGTGTAATCAATAGTGAAGCCATATTGAAGTAGAATTATCGAAAGAGAACGATAGATATGATAATCAAGATGATTAAAAAATTCTTCGGAAAGTAAATAGTGAAAGAAATACATAGTAGAAGTAATAGTGCAGTGTAACATAGTAATTGATTATTGTTAATGTCAACACTCTAAATTTCATCTGAACTAATCTATCATTCATTAACGTTACTTTTCTTATATGTTATTGATAATCTTACTTGTTATCATGATGATATTGCTAATATGTACGTGACAAGGATTGTACTAGAAAAAAAAAGAAGGAAATCAATAATATTTAGTCATAGATCAAGGTCTATCAAAATGTATCTTAATTATTCTATCGTCATCATGACTCAAGATTGATTAAAGTAATAACTCAAGAAATTTCTTCTCTCAGACATATTCTTACATATGTATTACAGAAAAGATTAGAACTGATATAAATAACACTATACAATTGGGGATATTTTATCTGTCAGTATAACTGATGTTGAAGTGTCTGTTGGTCTGATAAAATGATTGTATATTTTGTAACCTTTACTAAGAATGAAAATAGGCAAAGATCAAATGATACCTATTTGTCTATCGTTCTCATAAGATCAAAAGACTAATCTCATTTGGATAATAAACAGAAAGCAATAAAGAACATTAGTATTAGAAATTTTGTTCAACGCAGCAAAAAGAATAAGATAGAACGACCTACAGAATAAATCATAGAAGTCATGCTCTATCATTCTATATGAAAAATTTTATTCTAATACTTTCTCTATTGGGAATATTACTCACATTATCTCAACTAAGGGTTTTCTAAAAGAAAAGACGTATTTAGTGTAGTCGATGCATACATTTCCAAAATCGATGAAACTTTCATAGAATTTTTTTTCTGTATGACACGTCTATTCAATTAATATAAAGATGCACTAATGCTATTGGACTGAGATACAAGTTTCCTTAGTTTTTTTTTTTTGGTTTAGAAATACTTCAGGAGAATAATAAGGACATAATTTGAATCAGAACAAAGTCTCGTACATTTTAAATCTAAAATCATCTTTGAAAAATTTTCTTTTATTTGTTGAGCGCTGCAAATTAGTATTTCTATGAAAAAAATAAGTTTTTTCATTGGAAATAAGCCATGTGTATGTGCTCTATAGACACTACCCATTGTGCAGTACAATCAATAGTTGTTATTGATTTTTAAAAGTGAATACCTTGATTTTATTTATAGGGTGAACCCGGTGATGATGACCGCATTGGATTAGATGGCCTACCGGGTGCTCCTGGTATACCAGGCTCAGTTGGCTTGCCAGTAAGTCTACTTTTTTCTTTTATTTTTTCTATCATTTAACTTTCAAACTATTAATTAGGGTGAACCAGGTGAATCAATGGGTTTTGGCGGTGTTGTACCAGGACCACGTGGCGATCCCGGAATGCCTGGTCGTTCCGGTGTACCTGTGCGTATAGATAAAAGAAAAAAAAAAGATTTTTCTTGAATGAATAATTTAATATTATTTTCATTGATAGGGTTGGCCCGGTCCCTCAGGTTCTCCAGGTTTGCAAGGTCCATTGGGACCACCAGGACCAGATGTAAGTATTACATAGTAAATTTTCGTATAAGATTTCAACATATTATTTCAATTGTAGGGTGGCCCTGGACCAAGAGGTGATTCAGGATTACCAGGACCAAATGGTCCCACAAGCTATGGTAACAAAGGTAAAACAAATAATTTTTCCAAATAATTAGATATTTTAATGTAATTTTTACATTATTTTTTAGGTCAACGTGGTGATCCAGGTACACGAAAAAGAAAAGAAAAAAGAAAAAGTTCTTTTTAATATATTTTATTATTATTTAGGTGATAATGCTCCGACACCAGTCGATCCAGTGCCGTATGGTCGTTTACGAGGTATGTGTATGCTTTTGTATTTAAATATCAGATTATTATTCGATGTGGACTAGATTTCTGTGAAAGTGTACATTTTTGCTATTGTTGCATCTTTGCATTAGTATAGTATCCTTCCTCAAAGAAATACAGTTTGTAAATATTTATATACTAGACAATAACAAAACTTGAACCTTTTGATGTTTATTCAAACAAAAGGAGATAAAATAAACGTATCATTCTGTTTTTTTTTTGAATAAATATTATGTTCAAACGTTATCAGCCTTATCTTAGTGATTGCATATAATTTTATTCAAATATATGAGACAGAGTTTATAGAGACACCCATGAAGCAATCGATTATTTTTTTCTTCTAATGACTAAGTATTTTGATATTGTCTTTTAAAAGGTATTACAAATGTCCAAGGACCACCTGGTATACGTGGTCCAGATGGTGATCGTGGTTATAAAGGAGATCGCGGTCAACCTGGTTATTTGGTATAAATATATATTTTTAGAAAAAACAAAAAAGAATAATATTTTGTTCTTCTTTTTAGGGTATTGATGGTTTACAAGGATCTAAAGGAGAAAAAGGTGAAATTGGGGCGCCTGGATCACAGGTAAATGAACGAAGAAAAAAAAATTCCTACACATATACGTATTTATGTTTTTAAAAGGGTAAAATGGGTAAAGAAGGTTCTTCTGGCCCATATGGTATTAAAGGCGAAGCAGGTCAGTTTTCTTGTTTTTTTTTTTGTACAATTTAAATTTATTTTAACCTTTATTTTATTCTAGGCCCACCTGGTCCACCTGGAAGTGATGGTCTTCCTGGCGGTAAGTTAAGGAATAAGAAAGTGGATATTTAAAATATCATGTGGTTTTTTGTTATAGAACCTGGCCAATCTGGTTATTCTGGCCCTAAAGGCCAACGTGGTGATCATGGTGTAAACGGTCCAAATGTAAATAATATAAAATTTATTCGTTGGTTTTTTTTTAAAATTTTCATTCTATGTCTATTGTAGACTTATGGTAGCAAACGTTTTCGACCACTTCCTGGACCACCAGGTTATCCAGTATGTAATTGCATGTTTAGTTCTTATGGTTGAACATCTTTATTACTTTGTTTTATTCTTTTCTAGGGAATGACAGGTGATGCTGGACCAAATGGCTTTCCAGGTGCTCCCGGTTTTCCTGGTGAGTTATCGAAGGAATTATGAATGTTAAATATTGCATTATTTGTTGTATAGGTCGGGAAGGTCTTAAAGGTGAACGAGGTGATTATGGTTCCCCTGGTCGACCTGGTCCTATGGGAGAAACAGCTGATGCCGAAAAGGGTGATCGAGGTGCTGACGGTATGTTGTCAGCTGTTTGGTGTTTTCTTTTTGTTTAAATAATAATTTGTTTATTTATTTAGGACTTTCTGGTCCTCCTGGACCACCTGGACCTGCTGGTAATATTATTTATTTTTTTAATACACATTTATTTACGTAAATATTCGTTTATTTTAGGTATCCCGGGTGAAAAAGGTGTTCTGGGTGAAAAAGGATTAGCTGGTGAAGAGACATATGGTATATTTTTTTATTAGCTTTTTGTCTAAAAAGCAAAAGTCAAATTTAATTATAGGACCACGTGGAACTAATGGACTTCCGGGTCGCACTGGATGTAAGTTCTTTTCTTCAAATATCGAATAAATAGATAATCATGTTGTTTTTTTTCTTTCTTTAATAGATCCTGGTTTACCCGGACCATCAGGTGATAATGGTGAACCAGGTTTGCCAGGTAAATAGGATTTTTTGATAGACGAATAAATGACATTTCTATTTTGTATGAAAGGTCTACCTGGTGATGCAAGTTTTCAAGGTTATCAAGGTGAGGAATATATATATATATTTCAATATTGATTGTTCTGATAAAATTTTTTTGTTATTTTAAGGATATGGTCCTCCTGGTCCGCAAGGGTGAATAATTTTTTTTTGTTAATATTATTTTTTATGAAATTTTTAATGAATATAGATATCCAGGTCGTCCAGGTCAGCCCGGTGCACCTGGTTTTCCCGGTATGTATTTTGTCTCTGTTGTTTTTTTTATCAGAATTTACTAAAATTAATCGTATCATTTAGGTGTTCCCGGACCGAAAGGTGATGTTGGTAAGTAACAATTGGAAAAAAATAGAATGAAATTGATTTTAATTCATCATTTTTTGTTAAGGTGATGCTGGTGGTTGTGGATTTTGTCCACCTGCTGCACCCGGTCTTCCAGGTGATCGTGGTAGCCAAGGTTATCGTGGTCGACCCGGCGTAAGTATTATTTTTAAAATGTTTGTTTTTAGTAATTATAACATTCGTTAATTTTTAGTTAACTGGAGCACCTGGCTATCGAGGTAAATATCTTTTTTTGATTTTCTTTGAATTGAAAGGTTACGCTCATATTTTAATTTAGGTGAAAAAGGAGATACTGGACCAAGTGGAGCTCCTGGACCGAATGGTTTACCTGGACCGGCTGTAAATAATCGATTACATAAGAGTATTAAAAAATGAATTTTTAATATATTTTAGGGAATTCCTGGTCGAGATGGTTATCCAGGTTTATCAGGGCGTAAAGGTGAATCTGGCGAATTGATTGGTGCTGATGGCATTAAAGGTAACGATACATACCAGAATCGAAGATATATAGCAAAAAAAGTAGCGAATGTAGAAAATAGCGAAAATTGACATTGCGAAACCCATTTCAATGAATGTTTTTCCTTCACAAAATAAGTGTGGGTGAGTGAGTATGAATCTCGGTCTTTTTGTTCATCTGCACCTTTCTCTACTTGTTAAATGTGATTAAATGTTATTTTCTATTTGATTACAACCAAAGATTTATATTTTGTATAAAGGTCGTCGAGGAATACCTGGTGAGTCAGGAGTTAAAGGTTATAGTGGTGATGTTGGTGAATCTGGTATTAATGGACGTGATGGGTATGAGTTTCATAGCATATGTACGTTCTGACTTTTGTAAGTTTTAGTTATGATGGTATTTCTGGTGCACCTGGCCTACGTGTATGTTTTCCATGTGTAGATATCTATTTGCAAATGTTTTCTTTTCATATAGGGTCCTTCAGGTGATGTAGGACGGTCAGGAACTGCGGGTATTACAGGACCTAAAGGTAAATTCATCATTGTTTTTTTAGAAGATTGAAAATTGATGTATTGTATTTTGTTTCTTTAATAGGTCCACAAGGTTCAGCAGGACCACCGGGTCAAGTATTTGCACGTGGCCCACGTGGTGATCAAGGTGAAAGTGGTCCAGAAGGTAAAACTGGACGACCTGGTCTTCCTGGTCCACCTGGTGACGATGCCCCAGTACTAGTGATTACACCTGGCGAAAGGGGCATTAAAGGATATCCGGGTGATCAAGGGTAAGACTTCATGTGTGCTTACTTTTGTATAATTTCATTGTTTTTTTTTTAATTTTTCTAGTTTTGCTGGTCAACCTGGTAAGTAATCAAATAAAAAATTCTATGAATAGTTTTCTTATTATTTGTAATACTGATAAGGTGCTCCTGGATTACCTGGACGAGATGGTCTACCTGGTACTAATGGTTTTCCTGGTCCAAAGGTAGAGATAAACGTTATTCGAGTCATTGTTTTCAAAAATTCTAACACTTAATGTATATTTCAGGGTGATGATGGTCGACCTGGCTTTCCCGGGGTACCTGGTATGTCAAGCTTTTGATATATATATATTTCATAATTAATAAACGTTTTTTTCTTGTTAGGCGAAAATGGTGTTAAAGGTAGACTAGAAAAAATGTTTATACTTTCATCTATGTATTTTATGTAGGCTATCCGGGTATGGATGGACGACCTGGTCTTGATGGACGGTATGAAAATTTCTGTTTTTTTTTTGTCTCAGATAGATATTAGACTTTTTTATTTTTCAGATCTGGTCTTCCAGGAATGAATGGACAACCTGGTCTACCTGGTTTACCAGGAGCTAAAGTAAATTTTGATAGATTATTATTTCTTATTATTTTGTATTATTTTAATTTTATTTAGGGACAACGAGGTGAAACTGCTGTTGCAACAATATCTGGACCACGAGGCAATCCAGGTCCAAAAGGTGTTACTGGTGAACGTGGTGCACCTGGCATATTAGGAAGTCGTAAGTAGTCGAAAAATTGGTTTATCTTAATTGCATATTACTTATTATTTGTTTTAAGGTGGTATACCTGGTCCACGTGGTTTACCTGGCAATCCAGGTTAGTGAAGCATATGTAAAACAATCATTCGCCTTTAAAATTTTGTTTCCATTATAGGTATAAATGGCCTTCCAGGACAAGCTGGTCTACAAGGACAGAAAGGAGAAAGAGGTAAATTAGTTAGATTTATTTAAGAGTAAATACATGAAAATTGTTCTAGGTGGTACTGGATCTGCTTGGCAAGGTGATGTTGGTTTGCCTGGTGCACGTGGTCGATCTGGAGGTAAATACATGCATTATTAATTTGTATTACAAAAATGTATTTTTCTTTTGCTCTTAGCCCCTGGAATGGCTGGTGCTCCAGGTAGTCCTGGTCCAGCTGGTTTTCGTGGTTTACCTGGTGACATGGTATGTTTAAATACAAAAAAACAAAAGAAATTTTTTTATTTATATTTTAATAAATAGGGTCGACTTGGTCAAAATGGTGCACCTGGTTTTCCCGGCAGACCTGGCGAACGTATGTATAAAATCTTTATTTTCTGCTTATTATAATGAACTTCTCTTGACAAAAAAAAGGAGGTGATAATGGACTTGATGGATATCCTGGTTTGATTGGAATGAAAGGTGAATGTTTTAGTATTATTTTTTTTTTGTTTTTAATATAATGTTGAATTTCTTTCTTTGATTGAAAACAGGTCGTCCTGGTATACCTGGTGAACGTAAGTAAATGTGATCTTTTTTTTCGATAGAATAATATTTATGATATATTTTGATTTAGGTGGATTACCTGGTGGTGCTGGTGCAAATGGGCTTCCAGGTTTTCCAGGACCTAAAGGTCTTCCAGGTAATTTATTTTTGTAACCTAAGAAAATTTATTTAATAGAATCGATTTATGTCATATGTAGGTGATGTTGGAGAACAAGGTATTCACGGTGGCTATGCTGTACCAGGTCAAAAAGGAGAAATGGGTATGTATAGAAGAGTCAAACAGAAAGAAAGAAAGAAAAGAAATTCATATTCTAGGAGAGACTGGTGACGTTGGTCTACCGGGTATTAAAGGTCTTGCAGGAGAATCTGGCACATGTATGTATTAGAAATGTGAAAAAAAACAAATTCTTTATTGGAAATAATTCTTTTTTTGTAGTTGGTCCCAAAGGATTTCCAGGCGAAGTTGGGTAAATAATAATTTCTATAAAACTTTAGAGTGCATATAAATTTTTGCTTGTATCTATTTTCAGATACCCAGGCTTATCTGGCACACCTGGCCTACCTGGTCGTGATGGTATGCTAATTATTAAATGATTAGTTTAAAATAGAATATACTTGTCTTTAAGGACGTCCTGGTTTACCTGGTTTGAAAGGTGAAATGGGTGATTGGTTTAAAGGCGTTAATGGTAAGTTTCTTTTTCAAAAATGAAATATATTATATTTAATATTTATTATAGGTATACGAGGTGAACCTGGTTTACCTGGCCTTCCTGGTATACCAGGTGCTCCAGGTCTTCGTGGATTGGTGAGTAGAATCATCTTTATGTTTGGTTTCCGGGAAAACAAAATTAACTGCATATCGTTGTATTGTTTTTAGGCTGGCCTCCCAGGTGCTATAGGATTACGTGGACAACCAGGTCTTATTGGATTTCCAGGTAAAATGATAAAATTAATTAAGTGTCTGTTAGTATTTTGCTTTCTAATAGGTCTTTCCGGTCTTAGTGGTGCACCTGGCTTACCTGGATTGAAAGGCCAACCAGGACAAAGTGGTATGCATCTGAATCGAGTTAATAAATTAATATTACATATGTCTTGTATATAGGTCTTCCTGGACTTGCTGGATCTCCAGGTGATCGAGTAAGTTTACAGAACAAAATTTTTTTAGAGGTATATATTTTTTCAAATTATTTTATTTATAGGGTCTTCCTGGTCGTTCTGGTTTACCAGGTATACCTGGCCTTAAAGGAATGAGTGGAGAACGAGGTCGTGATGGACGAGCTACAGAATCAGGTAAATAAAAATCAAATGAAATTTTTACTTACACATATATCAAATTTGTATTCTCATAGGACCAAAAGGAGAACCAGGTGATGTTGGTCCATCTGGAATTCCTGGACTTTCTGGAATGATTGGTGATGCTGGTATGTATGATTTAGTATATCGTTTTTCATTTTCATATGTACGTTTGTAAATTTTCTATTGTAGGTCTTTCGGTAAGTTAATAATCGATAAGTAAGAAATGTTCTTTTTTTTTTTCATTCTATCATTTCAGGGTATACCAGGTATTACTGGTCTACAGGGAGCACCAGGTAAGATAATCAAAACAAAAATAACAAAACATTTCTACGGTATCATACTTTGTAATCGATAATGTTTTAGGTCGTGATGGTCTTCCGGGTTTACCAGGAGAGAAAGGTTTAACAGGCATACCAGGAAAACCAGGACGACAAGGTAAATTATTATCTAGTAAATGGTTAGTCTCATTTTATGCTTCTTATTTAAGGCTTTCCTGGTTTACAAGGACCTAAAGGAAATGCTGGCTATCCTGGTCGTCCCGGTGTGAAAGGTGCACAAGGTGAAAGCGGTATGTACAAACGAAATTCATCATTAATTTCAATCAATATGATCATGGTTTATTTGATTTCTATTTTAGGTGGTCGTACTTTACCAGGTCTTCGTGGTGATGCCGGTCGCGATGGTGTTCCAGGTCGAGCAGGTCTTAGGTAAATTTTCTAATAAGGCAAATAGTTTGAACTAGTTGAATAATGTTATTATTTAAGAGGACCACCTGGTGACATTGGTCTGCCTGGTCCACCTGGTCGTGATGGTACGTAATCTCAGTCATGTTTATGAATGTCTCATTGATTTCATTTCCCTAATTTTGTTTTTAGGTCGTGGAGTAGCTGGTATACGAGGACCAACAGGAAATCGTGGTCTAGATGGTTTGCCAGGTCGACCAGGTTCAATTGGATTTCCTGGACGAGATGGTAAACCAGGTTTAGCTGGTCCTTCTGGTAAGTACATGAATTTGATTTGAACAGATAATAATTGTTTAATATTTAGGTGTACCGGGTCTTCTTGGAATCAATGGTCTTCCTGGTATATCAGGTGCTGCTGGTGCAAAAGGATTACCAGTAAAGAAAAGTTTTGCGATGATATCAAATTATAATTTGTTTTTATTCAGGGTCAACCAGGACCAGCTGGAAACTCAGGTGTACCCGGAAGACGAGGAGAACCAGGCATACCAGGTATGTCTTATGCATAAGTCAATAGACAGTAACTTAACTTAATTGATTGTATTTTTCTTTTCCTTTTAAGGCATTTCTGGAATCCCAGGTCGTAAAGGAGAAATGGGGGATGCAGGTTAGTTTCAATCATATGTTTTTTCTCTTCATACAATAGAATTATTTTTTTGCTTTTATTCTATAGGATCACCCGGTGCTGATGGATTTCCAGGTATACCAGGTCCAAAAGGAGAAACAGTACGAGTAGAAGTAAGAAAATGTTTTTTTTTTATCATTGAGAAAAAATATTCATCTTTATATATATTAGACTTTAGTACAACCAGGTGCAAAAGGTGAACGTGGTGATCAAGGATTTCCTGGTAAGAAAATAAATTATAGAAAATCCTTTTTTTCAATATTTAACTTCATCGTTTTTTTAGGTGCTAATGGGTTACCAGGTAAAATTGGTCTTCCGGGACCAAAAGGTTATCCAGGTCAAGTCGGTCTTGCTGGTCGTCCAGGTAAATTGGCATATTCAAACAATAAAATATTCAACTAATGATTATTCTGTTGCTTTATAGGCAGTCCAGGCTCGTTAGGAGCTCGTGGTTCAATTGGCGACTTTGGATCTCCGGGAGCGTAAGTTGTAAATTTTCTTTTTTTGTCGTCTAGTTTTATTTGATTTTGTAGACCTGGTTTACATGGCCCACCAGGATCACCAGGTATGTCTTTTGCATAAAAAAAAACAAAAATGAATATTAGATATTAATTTTATATTTCTTTTGTATAGGTATTGCTGGTCTTCAAGGACTTCCAGGAGATACAGGTGAAGGTTCATTCATATTTTCACGGTATGTTATTATTAAATAGAAATGTTAAATTCATTTTTTGTTCTTGTTATGTTCTATTATTTTAGTCATAGTCAAGATAAAACCAGTCCACAATGTCCATATGGAACAACAAAAATGCAAGAAGGTTTTTCATTTATGGGTATGCAAGGTGATACATATGCTGCTCATCAAGATCTTGGTAAATTTTTGTTTTCAGTTTATTAATATAACAAAAAATTTCTTAATGAAATTTTATCTTCCTTGTCTTTATGAATAGGTGGTTCGGGTAGTTGTTTACGTCGTTTTAGTGCAATGCCATTTTTATTTTGTGATATTGGTAATTCATGTCATTATGCATCACGTAATGATTATTCATATTGGTTATCAACAAATGAACCAATGTCATCAAGTATGGCACCATTTGAAGCACGTGATATACCAAATCATTTAAGTCGTTGTGTGGTTTGTGAATCAGCAACACCAGTATTTACAATTCATAGTCAATCACAACGTGTTCCAACATGTCCTGAGGGATATGATCTTTTATGGACTGGTTATAGCTTTGTATTTACATCAGCTGATGGTGGTCGTGGTGATCAACAAAGTTTACAATCACCTGGTTCATGTCTTGAAAAATATCATGATCGACCATATTTTCATTGCAAAGATCATTCACAGTGCAATTATTATCCAAATATGATGACATTCTATTTAGCTACATTAGATGATTATACAGGCTTTGAAAAACCCAAATTACTGACATTAAAAGCTGGTACACAAAGACAACATGTTAGTCGTTGTGCTGTATGTCATGCTAATCTATTTAAACAGACAACTCACGGACCATCAGCATTTTTTGCACAAGTCAAGAAAATTTAATTAAGACAGTAACTGAATATTTTATGTTATATTTTCTTTTCTTTTCTTTTTTGTAGTTTTCTTTTTTTGCATTAATGATGACTCTTTAACAGTGAGATCAATCATCTTTTCTTCTTTTTTTTTTTTATTCGTTTTTCTTTTTTGGCTATTAATATGTATGCGTGACATTTATTAGATTTTGTTTGTCGGTTTGTTTGTTTTTTCTTGCGCTATCGTTGGTTTTTTTTCTTTTGTCGTCTATCTAGTCATCGAAATAAAATATTGAAACATCAGAGACATTTAGAAATATGATCTTTTTCTTTTATAAATTCTTAAAAAATCGAAATGAAAAAATATATTGTGGATCTTCGATTTGTTTTGGAATCACTATTAAATATCATTGAACCAAAACAGAGAATTTGGTGTGCTGTAAAGCAGCCACAAGCGAAAATATCGAAAGAGAAAATGAAGAAAAGAAAAAAGTGATGTTTCTGGTAAATAGTGACTCTAAGTACCTATAATGTTTTTTAAGGATGCGGGATGAATGAAGAGAAGACCGCTCCCCGCCACCTGCCCACGCCTCCCCTCCACCACCCCCCCCCCCCTCCACCCCCCCCCCTCCCCCCGCCAGTCCCGGGTGCCGGCAGACTCAAAGGCGG